TCTATTTGGTTTATGCAACTACATTTGTGGCATTCCCTTTTCCATTTGCAATCATAACTCACACATGATTCTATATATCTATATTTGATTTTTTTAGTTATTATCTATCACGAATGCCATTATAATATCAAGATTGTATCATTCGTAATTACATACAATTGAGCTCCTTTCTGGATTTAGTGAAAAAAAATTTTTTCGAATGAGTAGGGATGAAAATAGTGTTTGTGATAAGAGATTTTTCTAGAGAATTTTTCAGATTAATCTTTCTAATTTTCATGTTCAAACATTTTTGTAAGGACATTTTGGACAAATTTATTAAAAATTATTCTCTTTCAAATATTTTTAAAAATGCAAAAAAGTCAAAGTGAAAAGATTAAATTGAAACAAAGGATGTTATAAGTAGCTTAATTCGGGATAGTCATCTCACAATTAGATAATGAAAGAAAAATCTTAAAGAGCTAAATTTCTTTTTGTGAGAATTGGTGTGTGTCTAAGACTATGGCACTAAATGGCATTTATTGGGAATATAAGTGGATGGAGAAAACTAACGATGTATGGGTAAGGTTGGTATTAAAAAACAATGTACATGATTTAAAGCATAATGTACCTATTTTTTGGATGGAAAAAGAACATCTTATTAAGATGATAAGATGTTATTAAGATGATAAGGGGTACCAAACCCTCTTTCACATTTATATAATATAGGAGATATAGGAGATATGTGTGTGCGCGATTATTATTATTTATGGAAATGATAGTATGGTATAATAATAATAATATTTTACTTTAACAACGATAATAATAATAATAGCAAAATTTCTATATATTCTTTTATTTTTATTTATGGTAATGATAGTATTATATACAAAAATAATACTCCCTCCGTCCGGAAATATTCTTCCCATTTTCTTTTTTGGTCCGTCCGAAAATATTCTTCTCATTTCCTTTTTTAGTATACTTTTTAAGGCTAAATATCAATAATACCCTTCTATTTTATCACAAATCTACTTTTTTAGTACTTTTTTAATAATAAAAGGAGATTTAAAAGTTTATAGTATGTGCATTTTTGAAAATTTTGCATTTTTTTTACTATTCCTTAATAAGCGTGCCAAGTCAACACGGGAAGAACATTTCCGGACGGAGGGAGTATTTTACTTTAATAACAAAACTTTTAATAGCAGAATTTCCATATATATGGATTTATTATTATATATGGAAATTATAATATTATATATGAAGATAATATTTTACTTGAATATCAAAAATAATTTGCCCATTGTTTATGCATCAATATATGAAATATTGCATTACACATTTTATTTTATTTGGTTTTGTAATAATCTCTGTCAAATTTAAAACATGCATTTTTTATTTTGTTGATATTTAGTATGAAATTGATTCATATTTTTATTCAACACTATGCATTTTTTATTAATCACAGTCAGAGTTATTAATTTATTATTATTATTATTATTATTATTATTATTATTATTATTATTATTATTATTATTATTATTATTATATATGGACACTATGGAAACATTAATCCTTCGATGAGTTTATGTAATGATACCCGATTGATAGTAACTCAGTTAGCTAATTACTCAATACGAGAAAAGATATTATCTAGAGGACACATGTGTGCAGGGCCGGTCCCGAAGATTCATCAGCCTGGGTAGAAACAGAAAAAAGACCCTAAAAGTCTTATCCTAAATGGTCTAAAAAATTCACATATGTAAACTAATCATATTTAAATTATAATTAACGCAATATTATTAGAAGAAAAAAAATAAATGACAAAATTATAGTATTATAATTACATACCGTAAAAGCTAGTCGAGGATTCAACAAGTTCTCCTTGCATTCTTGAGAGCAAATTGGTTGATCACATCTTCACATCTATTGAATTATTTCTGAAATAAAATCCAAAATCATAAATTCTACTAAGTAAAATCAAGAATAAAAACTGAAAAAAGCAAGAAAATAAATAAATAAATATATCATAAATTAATGTCAATTCGTCAATTTTTATTTTTTTTTAATTTTTTTTCTTTTTCAGTTTTAATATTTTTATAAATCATAAATTCATATCAATTCATCAATTTATCAGTTTTAATTTTTTTTCGATTTTCAGTTTTTTTTAATATAAATATATAATTATCATAAATAACAAATTCAAATCAATTCATTCAAATCAAATAAATAACATATAGAACCATTCATTCATTCTATTTTAAAGAATGAAATTAGAAAAGATTTCAAATTAAAAACTAATAATTAATCCTATATTTTAAGTCTAAAAAATGAAACAATGAAATTATGAAAGAAAATTTAAATTTAAGAAATAAAAATTACAAATTTGGAAAGGGAAGACTGAATAATTACCTGGAGGGTGGAGGCGTGCGCCGTGCAGGACGGCGACTCGGCGTCCGGCGGTGGAGGCGTGCAGCGTGCAGGTCGTCGGCTTGAAGTTTCTGGTTTCTTCGATGAGTTCGATTGGCACTTGCGTCTTGCGCGTCTCTTCCGTTTCGTTTTTTAGTCTACAGAGAATACAGGACTGGGCTAAGTTAAGGGATGGGTCATGGGCTTGGGCTTACATACATACATACATACATACATACATACATACATACATACATACATACATACATACATACATACATACATATATATATATATATATATAATACAAAAAAATTTGTGCCCCTAAAATATTTTGGCCCGGCCCGGACGGACACCTTGTCCCCCTATTGGGCCGGCCCTGCATGTGTGTAGAAGTTGTTATTCCAAATTTAACATTGACATCATTTGATGCAAAAAATTTATTCAAGTTTCAAAAAGACAATTTCTTGTGGTTACTTGACGATTAGTACGGAAACCAATATTTAGTCAGGAACAATTATATGTTTCGGTTTCAAGAGTAAGAGATCATAATGGCTTGAAGATTCTGATATACAATGCAGAAGATACTCGTACAAATTGTATCAATAATGTAGTTATAAATAAGTTTTCTAAAATGTAATTAATTTGATATTCATGCTTTAAAATAATAATAAAAAAACTTTAAATATCATTATATGGTCTATTTCTTTTCTTCAATAATGACACTGATATATATATTTTCATTGCGTAAAAACAAGTTGTGCAACACACGTGTACGATATTTGTAGACAATTAAAGCACATAGTAATCTGCCTTTGTCACTACTGACGTTATCACGGATGGCGATTCATTTCAGACTCCATGGAGTTTATGTGAAAGGTAAAATATATCAATTTAGTTGAAGTCAGTTATCATATTTCATACATACAATTTAGGCTATGTTTGGATTGAGGTAGGTTAAAGTTTTATTTGGTAGGTAATGGTAGGTAATTAAAGATAGGTAATTGAAGGTAGGTGAAGTAAGGTAATGAGTTAAAAATTTGTGTTTGGATATTTATTAGGTAATGTAAGGTAAGGTAAACAATAAAATTACTTAAATATCCTTGTACTTGTTTTTCTTTATTTGTTTAATATGTTGACAATTATTTATAAGGTAAATGCAATAAATTATTTTTGCATCAATTTCAAACATTTTTTTATTAATTTATTAGAAAAGTTTTTAAGTTTTAAATGTAAAATTTTGAAATTAAATGAATACTTTAAGACAGAAGTAGTAAGTAACATGTCATTTTTATAAATAAAATTAATCAAAATTTAGAAGTCATATATTCCATAGCCAAAAAAAACATACAAAAAAATATTAATATAATTAGCCAAAAAACAGCAATACACCAAAATTTAAAAAAACCACTACAACAAACATGAAAAAAAGAAGAAAAAAAACCACCATAAAGAACACAAAAAAACACACAAAAAAATAGAAAGAAAAAGGAAAAAAGCAAAAGCATAAGCAAAAACAAATAAACGAAAAAAATGGAATAAAAACAGCAAAGAGTCAAGGGCACAAAGAAAGCTGAAAAAAGAGAGAAAAAATTAAATAAATTAGAAAAAAACTTGCGTCAGATCTGGGGAAATTGCACAGGGGAGCTATGTTTCGTCCGGCTGGAGGCGAAGTAGAGGAGGGCAGACACCGAAAAAATTGGATTGCGAAGCGATGACCTTGGTTTATCGCCTAAAACGAGGTAGCCAAATTTACACTGTTAAGAGGTGTTAAGAGGTAAGGTTACCTCCATTCACCTCCTCTTATCTAATTCATTTTTTTCTCCCAAACAAGGTAGGGTGTATTCTCATTGTGTTTTTTGAAAATACAATTTGGTGCACCAGTTGTGACCTTAAATCTTTAACACTTATCTTTGTGTGCATATCCTCTTAAAAGTTTATAGCCCAGTATTGCTTTTTCTTGAAAGCTTTTCCAAATAACTGATGCTCATTTTATAACCTCTACTGTCTTTTGTAAAAATCAAATAGGATATTTAGAAGTTAAGATGCACTTCACCTTAAACATCTATTTATCAAATCACCCCAGTTCCCATGGCATTACTAAACAATGACATGGGATGACCTGGGGCCATACGATGTTACGTTCTTAAAATTGACGGTTCATACTCCTTCTAAGCCCCTCGGTAAACCCCTCACCTCGCCCCGCTTCAAACCCATCGCCCTCACCCTCTTTAATTGCATCTCCCAAGTTTAGTTGACTTTGGAGTCAAAATTTTGACTCCAAAGTCAATAAAACTTGAGAAATGCAATTGAAGTGGGTGGGGCGGTGGGTGAGGGTATTTATCGGGGGGGGGGGGGGGGTTAGGAGGAATAAGAACTATCAATTTTACGAACGGAACATCGTACAACCTCTAGGTCATCACAGAACCGCCCCTAATCAAATATATACCCGAAGCATCTCTTTCCATCTTAAGTATGGTATTTGTCAATATTTTTCATCAGTCATCAGTCTGTATGATATGATANATGGATGAATTTTCATATATTTCTGAAGGTAGGCCTTATTATCTTCCTTATGCATCTCCCGTGGTTAGTAACAATACCCCGTTCTTGCCCGTTAATGAATCTACTCCGGATGTGGGGCCTACCTCTGGGGTTCAACCGGGAAGTGTATCTTCTCAAGTGGATTACACACAAAGCTTGGCGGGTTTGCACTACTCACATTCGTCTTCTGGCGTTTGGAATGGGCTTGCCCATAAGAAGATGGGCAAAAAGATGCAAGGTAATGCAAATTTGTCCTTTGACAATGCGATTGCTGGTGGTTCAAAACATTTCAAAAGTCCGATCAACCAAGGTATTTGTTTTTATTCTTTAATACGGAGTATGTTTCATTGTAATAGTTTGGTCATTTTATGGAGTTGTGTTGTAACGCTAACGTAATTCTGATGATTTATGTTGCGCTAAGGTTCTTGACATCAACTATCCAATTGCTTTTGGTTGTGTCAGTGATGTTAGTTTGGGTAGACTCAATTAATCACCTTCACGTATTCAACTGACTTGTTTTTTTCCCTATGTGAATATTTATCATCTTGGATTTCACTTATGCAGTTATGCTTGTGTGCATGCACATCTGTTGCTTGCTTTTCTACTGTCCAATTGCTCATTCTTCCCGTATGTGTGGTATCTAGGTTTTATGTCAATGTTTCTGCATCTCTTGATCCTTCATTTGGTTCTACCCACCAAGTTGTGTTGCATATAGAAAACGTTTTTTCTAGAATAGCAATTGTATAGACACATCTTATATAGAGAAGCAGTTTTACTATAACAATCTTCTGGAATCATATAGGAGCTCATGCCCTTGAGTGTAGAGCTGAAACTCAAGACGATTCTGGCACTTTTTTTGGAAACTTTACTGAAAGAGAAACACATGAAGGATTTTTGAAGATGGGACAGATGAAAGAAAAGTGTCAGAAAACATACAATGCTTATGAAAAATGTATTCAACCACTTGATTCCCACACATGCAATGATATACCGACACCAAAATCCTCAACTACAGTGGTCATCAGGCCACCGGCACCAGCTGCTGTCCAGATTTCATCAACAAAAAGATCCCCTTCTTTTCAAACTGGACAAGGTGGCAAATTTGCAGCAGTTCAAATTGATGGATTGTGTAGCCCCCCTTATTCTTTCAAAGGTGAAGAACCTCACCAGCCACTGAGTTCCATAGGAAAAGGTATGTATTTGAGCTCTAAGCAACTTAATGTGCACCCAGATGACGATGACCATAAAATATGCAATGCCTCATTATGGTCTACGAAGGAAAGCATGGCAGTCCAGTCCCATGTTGATGATACCTTGAAACTAACATTTGAATCTAGCTCACTATCAAATGCAACTTTTACAAAAGGTTTGGATGATATGTATTTGCCTACTGATGGTATCCAAGTTGTTCGGTACAATGAAAGTTATCAAGATGGTTTAGATCAGCATAACCCTAATGTTGATTCACCTTGCTGGAAAGGAACTTTGGCATCTCGTACTTCTCCTTTTGATGTTGAACATATGCATCCACCTCAAGAGAATCATCGTTTTCATTCAGAAGTTTTTTCGGGTGCTACTTCCAGTATGCTATCCAATAGCAATGTCGTTCACAATGAAAACGGATCTGCTTTAGATGGTAAGACAAATTTGAAAGGTCTTCAAATTGAAAATTGCCCAGCTAAAGATCATCTGTCAACCGATGCTGGAAAAGTAGATCCGGAGTCCCAAACTCACGATTCATGCGATCCAAGTAACTGCAGGACATCCAATTTTTGTGATAGTGTTGATTCTGTGCTGAACATGAATGAAGTGTCTCAAGGTTGCAATGTTGCTCTTGATGCTGCAGAGAAGGTTTTACATTCACCTAGTTCCCAGGAAGACTCTGAGCTTGCTCACAGGCATGGAAGGTTATCCTATCCAAAATTGGATGTTCAAACTCTGGTTATGGCTATTCACAACCTCTCGGAGTTGCTTCGGTTTCAGTGTTCAAATGATGAACCCCTATTCAGAGAAGCACATCATCAGGCCTTAAATCATACTATCAACAATCTCAATGCTTGTATACCTAAGAAGATAGGAACTATGAATACAACCCAAGATAAGATTGTAGCTGTGCAGAACACTGTAGATGGAACTAAGGAAGGATTCCACACGGTATGGCTTTTAGATGAAACTCATGGGGTTTGAACTGTGTAATCTCTGATGTTTGGTTATAAGCAAAAACCTGTACTCCTGATGTCATAATTTTAGTTAATGCTGATCTTGAGGTATTGTCTTAATATTAACTTTTCATAATGCTGGCATGCTCTAGGTAGGACTTCACCCCACGTTTGGTTCTGAAAAGACAAGAATCTTGTTTAAATTTGTTGATATTCTGAGTTCTTTTTACTTTGTACACAGCACTTGCATATCTTATTTCTTCGGTTTTGTGTGTTCATTTAAAAAATGTGATAATAATATATCTCTCTTTTTTCCAGGATACTGGTTTGACCCTACCTCAGATAAAAATTAGATCTGCTAGCTGCTTACATGTTCAGCCTACTATTCAGAATATGCATGGTTGTGATGTGACAAATGAGGATCTGAAACCTTTTCTTTCAATTAGTAACCCTATCATTCCCAAAGAGGATATTATGTCTCAGGTATGTATGATGTAATCCACACAGTTCTATCTTCTATGAACTGTTTGATCAGTTTTTGGATAGAAAAGAAAATTGATTCTCATTAATTTGTAAGAGGTGTAGTTGATCGGAACCTGGCTTGCAGGCTATCGGGAAAGTCTTACAAGAGAACTTTGAATTTGATGGAGAAATGGAATCACAAGCTCTACTCTTTAAGAACCTTTGGCTTGAGGCGGAAGCAAAACTGTGTTCCCTAAGTTACAAGGCTAGATTTGATCATATGAAGACTGCTTTGCATATGCAAAATTCCACAAGGGCTGTAGATGGTAAGGCTGCTTATTACTCTCAGTATTGAGTTTTTGTATCTCATCAATGCGGTGTCTGTTTCTCTTTATGTTTCAGAAAATGTAGCTTCTGCAGAAAAAAAATCAGGCTTCATTGGCGTGTCTAGTATTGATGCTGATGAATGCTCGTTGCATAAACCTTGCATCCAGAGTCAATCTGTTTCTCACTCTGCCAATGGCATTCTTGGCCGCAAGGGTTCTGTCACCAGCAGATACAATATTTTGAAATATAGGGAGGAAAATGCCTGCCCAATGTATGTGGACAAGGAACGAGATTCAGATGTGATTCGTACTGGCTTTGCAGGCGAACGGAGTAATAGGAGGCCCCATATAGGCAAGATGAGGATGCAAAACTTCATTAAAAAAACATTGTGGTCATAGTTATGAATGGCGAGTGGCGGGCGAGAGCACCTTTTCTATGGCGAGAGGCGTGGCATGTGACGGGCGGTTAAATGGCGATCAAAAGAGGCAATATATATTCGTCCACAACTTGCGATAACAATTGCAAGTTGCGATTAGAAGCTGGCAAAGGGAGCAGCTAATCAATAACAATACAATCTGAAGGAACGGGTGGAAAAAATAATAAAAAAATTTGCAGCGATCAGAAAGGCATGAGTTGCGATCGCCTTGCGCCATAGCTTTCGTCAAAAATTGCGACTGCCATGGTGCGCCTCAAGCACATCGCCTCGCTCGACCAAAATCAGGCGCTGGAAGGTCGCCACAATGCCATAGGCGACCATGGCGCTCGCCTTTCATAACTATGATTGTGGCTTGTACAACATGATTAGTGTATATCCTATCTTGGTCCCTAATATTTTCTTCTTTTTTCTTTCCATGTATTTTAGAGCACGCGGCCACCGTTGAAAATATTCCAAGCCTACAAGCTTCTACAAGCAATTGCGATGCTGACAGCTCTGTCATGGCGAGGTTGAACATTCTGAGAGGTCGGGATTCTTACCTAGGAGAGGAGCAGTTCGAGCCAATGCATTTAAACATGTCAGAAGAAAAGATTGGCAATGCAGCAGGAGGCATGGTGCCTCCTTTCCTGCATCACCCCACTGGGATGGCCCATGAAATCGGCTCCATTGCTGCAGCTGGAAAAGAACCCACAAAAGCATTTCACTTCTCAGCCCCAATTGATGCGGTCCAACAAACAAATATGCATAACAGGGCAGCTCCAGCTTTGCACAATACTTCCTCATCTGATTGGGAGCATATAGTGAATGATGACTTTGTTGCATGGCATGGTTGAGACATGTTTTCCCCACATCTCTCAGATATTGTTGTCTTATTTTGTTTAAAGAATGGATGGTACGTTAGATCCCAATATATTTGTCCAGTTTGACCTTTTTTAGTCAAATTGAAAAAACTCGGTTTCAATTACTCTTAATTTATATTGCTTATTATAGAGTAGTACAATAAAATAAAATTCTAAAAGTTTTTTAACAATAAATATATTAAAATTATTTTTATATTAATACGAAGTACTTTACAATTTTTGTTTTTATTTGAGTTCAAAATTTATGCAGTTTGACTAAAAAGAGTCCAACTACAAAAATACACCGGGACGGGAGAAATATCATTGCTTGTTCTAGGTTTGCACTTTCTGCTCAGCTCTTTACGAGGACATGCCTAGGAAATTTCCTGAAATGCATCCTACTCCATCCCATACAAACTAAAAAGAGTCTCCATCCCGTAACATGTGTCTTACGTCTCCAACATATTTTTCTCTTATTTTGCAGAAAAGATTTTGATTTTCATAATATATATTTTAAGAAAAAAAAAATGCCAGACAAGTTATATATCTGAAATTTATTTAAAGAAATGAATTTTAAAAATATAGTTGTAACTATGTGTGTTGAAATCGCGCGTGCTCTCACCCCAACTCTGCATTAGAATGATATTGTCCGTTCTGGACCAAGTTCTCGCGGATTTGTTTATGGGCACTTTCCAAAGTGCCTCATATTAATGGAGTTGATGAACCTATATATTTTGGTTCATTAACTCCTAAGTTTCCGCTCTGGGACTTGGAGGAATCCCAACAATATGAGTCCTTTTGCTTGGAAGGGAAAATATTTATTTGAAGATTTCAATTCTGTGTTTTTGTATTTGATAACATTAGTAGAAGGATACTATTTTTGTACAGACATTGAATATTTGTGATTCTGTGTTTGTGACTGAATGTTTTGGTATATAATTGCGGTTTACCACTTGGGGTACTCTTAGTATTCTCTTAATGCTTTTAATGAAAAATACTTCCAAATAAGGGGAATTCTCGGGACAATTCTCGGGACATTTTCAATTATTTCAAAACATACTTTCAAATATAAAATTTGCATAAATAATGTTGTAGTTGTTTAGGAAAAAATTATCTCACGGTGGTTGGGCGCTCCGCTCTTATTGAATAATAGACAATCCCCGCCCACCTCTCTCTCTAACTCTTCTCTTTATCTTGGTGCGGGAGTCTATGACTATCTCCAGTAATTCGATCACCTAACTTGACCGAATTACTGGACCTCTGCTTTCTATTCTTTTACAGTATTACTTTTCAACTTGTACAACTCAGAACGGACCACTTGATGCTAGATCCGTTCATTTGAAGAACCCATGAAGTTGGAACGGTCCACTTGAGGCTAGATTCTTCCACTTGAGGGACCTAAGAAATTGGAGCGGTCCTCTTGAGGCTAGATCCATCCACTTGAGGGACCTAAGAAACTGGAGCGGTCCTCTTGAGGCTAGATCCATCCACCGGACCAGAAGTCAGAACGGCCCACTTGAGGCGAGATCCGTCACTGGCTCGCTGAAGAGGACCGCGGGAGAGGACTGCTGGAGAGGTCCGCGGAGAGGACCGTTGGAGAGGATTGCGGAGAGGACCGTCGGAGATGACCGCGGAGGGGACCGCAGATAGGACCGTCGGAGAGGACCGCGCGCGGAGAGGACTGCCGGAGAGGACCGCAGAGGGGACCACCAGAGAGGACCGCTGCTGAGGACCGCCGGAGAGGACCACTGCTGAGGACCGTCGGAGAGGACCGCTGCTGTAGTGGCTTGTTTGGGAGACTTGCTCGATCTGGCGGTGGACCGATAGAAGGAGTCGCTCGTCAGTGGTGGAACGACGGAAGGAGTGGCTAGCCACTAGTGGACCGACGGAAGGAGTGGCTCGCTGGTGGTGGACCAACGCAAGGAGTGGCTTGCCGGTGAGGACCGGGAGCGGCTCGCTAGGGTGCTGGATCGACTTGCCTCAAGGAAGAGAGGCTCGCCAGTGGCTCCCCGGAGAAAGTGGGAGCTCGTCGGAGGGCCGATGTTGCTGTCCGTGGCTCGCCGGAGGAAGTGGGAGCTCGTCGGAGGGTCGCCGCTGGTGTCCGTGGCTCGCCGAAGGTTGTCCATGCCCTCTTCCCTTTTCTTTTCTCCTTTTTTGACTTTTCTACCTTTTATATTCTTGTTTCTCACTTCGTACCTTCTTTCTCTGTCCCGCCTTTGTTTTTTTTACTTTCTCTCTTTCACTTTTTTTTATTTCTCAACTCAAATATTTTTTTATGGAAACCACTTTTTCGGGGCATCGACCCGGCAAACTTCGTATTGGGTCGACACTGCACCAAATAGCAAAATCCAGAAAATAAATAAATAAATAAAGCAGAGAGAAAGTATTTATACGTGAAAACCAAATCAGAAGAAAATCACAGGCTTTTTTAGGCGGTGTCATGCCAAGGGAAGGAACTTTTATTAATCTCGGAGAAATTTACATATACATCATTGTAAGAGCTTGGAGCCATTAATGGAGCTACAAACTTTAAGAAGAAGAATTATATTAGTAAGGAGTTGTAGGAATTTGCCCTTGGCCTCCTCTGTCTTCCGCTTCGTAACTTCTTTTTACAACAGGGGAAAGGGGTAAAGTAGTGGGAGACAAGATAATATGTTTGGGACCCCCAAATATATGTCGTTGGGCCCTTATTAATATTCTTACATCTCATCAAATTATATTCTTCGTCTTATATCTCTGGCTCGGTCTTGAATAATTTATTTCATTTGTGTCTTGGGCCGGACTGAATTGGGCTTACTTGTAATTCAAATAATATTGGATTAGGTAAAATCTCTAATCCATCAATATATATATATATATATATATATATATATATATATATATATATATATATATATATAAAATCTCTAATCCATCAATATATATATATATATATATATATATATATATATATATATATATATGCTTCGGTCAGATGACGCACATGTATGTATGTATAAATGCATGTATACATACATACATACCTACATACACACACACACACACACACACATACATACATATATGTATGTATGTATGTACTAGCAATGGCACGTGCGTTGCACGAGATGTGGTGCCCGAAATTAGCTTTGTCGTTGGGCGTGTTACTATTACATTTTTGGCATTGCCTTTTCCATTTCTCAATCATATGTCAAGCATATTTATTTTTCTATTTAGTTTTGTTTTCACGGTACTATATCGCTATATATTGTTAATTTTTTTATTTTTTAGCTTTATCTATTTGGTTTATGCATCTACATTTGTGGCATTCCCTTTTCCATTTGCAATCATAACTCACACATGATTCTATATATCTATATTTGATTTTTTTTAGTTATTATCTATCACGAATGCCACTATAATATCAAGATTGTATCATTCGTAATTACATACAATTGAGCTCCTTTCTAGATTTAGTGAAAAAGAACTTTTTCGAATGAGTAGGGATGAAAATAGTGTTTGTGATAAGAGATTTTTCTAGAGAATTTTTCAGATTAATCTTTCTAATTTTCATGTTTAAACATTTTTGTAAGGACATTTTGGACAAATCTATTAAAAATTATTCTCTTTCAAATATTTTTAAAAATGAAAAAAAGTCAAAGTGAAAAGATTAAATTCAAACAAAGGATGTTATAAGTAGCTTAATTCGAGATAGTCATCTCACAATTAGATAATGAAAGAAAAATTTTAAAGAGCTAAATTTCTTTTTGTGAGAATTGGTGTGTGTCTAAGACTATGGCACTAAATGGCATTTATTGGGAATATAAGTGGATGGAGAAAACTAACGGTGTATGGGTAAGGTTGGTATTAAAAAACAATGTACATGATTTAAAGCATAATGTACCTATTTTTTGGATGGAAAAAGAACATCTTATTAAGGGGTACCAAACCCTCTTTCACATTTATATAATATAGGAGATATGTGTGTGCGCGATTATTATTATTTATGGAAATGATAGTATGGTATAATAATAATAATAATAATATTTTACTTTAACAATGATGATAATAATAATAGCAAAATTTCTATATATTCTTTTATTTTTATTTATGGTAATGATAGTATTATATACAAAAATAATATTTTACTTTAATAACAAAACTTTTAATAGCAGAATTTCCATATATATGGATTTATTATTATATATGGAAATAATAATATTATATATGAAGATAATATTTTACTTGAATATCGAAAATAATTTGCCCATTGTTTATGCATCAATATATGGAAATATTGCATTACACATTTTATTTTATTTGGTTTTGTAATAATCTCTGTCAAATTTAAAACATGCATTTTTTATTTTGTTGATATTTAGTATGAAATTGATTCATATTTTTATTCAACGCTATGAAGATTTTAATTTTTAATAATGAATTATTAATCACAGTCAGAGTTATTAATTTATTATTATTATTATTATTATTATTATTATTATTATTATTATATATGGACACTATGGAAACATTAATCCTTCGATGAGTTTATGTAATGATACCCGATTGATAGTAACTCAGTTAGCTAATTACTCAATACGAGGAAAGATATTATCTAGAGGACACATGTGTGCAGGGCCGGTCCCGAGGATTCATCAGCCTGGGTGGAAACCGAAAAAAGACCCTAAAAGTCTTATCCTTAATGGTCTAAAAAATTCACATATGTAAACTAATCATATTTAAATTATAACTAACGCAATATTATTAGAAGAAAAAAAATAAATGACAAAATTATAGTATTATAATTACAAACCGTAAAAGCTAGTCAAGGATTCGACAAGTTCTCCTTGCATTCTTGAGAGCAAATTGGTTGATCACATCTTCACATCTATTGAATTATTTCTGAAATAAAATCCAAAATCATAAATTCTACTAAGTAAAATCAAGAATAAAAACTGAAAAAAGCAAGAAAATAAATAAATAAATATATCATAAATTAATGTCAATTCGTCAATTTCTATTTTTTTTTAATTTTTTTTTTCTTTTTCAGTTTTAATTTTTTTATAAATCATAAATTCATATCAATTCATCAATTTATCAGTTTTAATTTTTTTTCGGTTTTCAGTTTTTTTTTAATATAAATATATAATTATCATAATTAACAAATTCAAATCAATTCATCCAAATCAAATAAATAACATATAGAACCATTCATTCATTCTATTTCAAAGAATGAAATTAGAAAAGATTTCAAATTAAAAACTAATAATTAACCCTATATTTTAAATCTAAAAAATGAAACAATGAAATTATGAAAGAAAATTTAAATTTAAGAAATAAAAATTACAAATTTGGAAAGGGAAGACTGAATAATTACCTGGAGGGTGGAGGCGTGCGCCGTGCAGGACGGCAACTCAGCGTCCGGCGGTGGAGGCGTGCAGCGTGCAGGTCGTCGGCTTGAAGTTTCTGGTTTCTTCGATGAGTTGGATTGGCACTTGCGTCTTGCGCGTCTCTTCCGTTTCGTTTTTTAGTCTACAGAGAATACAGGACTGGGCTAAGTTAAGGGATGGGTCATGGGCCTGGGCTTATATACATACATACATACATACATACATACATACATACATACATACATACATACATACATACATACACACACACACACACACACATATATAATACAAAAAAAAATTGTGCCCCTAAAATATTTTGGCCCAGCCCGGACAGACACCTTGTCGGGGGCCGGCCCTGCATGTGTGTAGAAGTTGTTATTCCAAATTTAACATTGACATCATTTGATGCAAAAAATTTATTCAAGTTTCAAAAAGACAATTTCTTGTGGTTACTTGACGATTAGTACGGAAACCAATATTTAGTCAGGAACAATTATATGTTTCGGTTTCAAGAGTAAGAGATCATAATGGCTTGAAGATTCTGATATACAATGCAGAAGATACTCGTACAAATTGTATCAATAATGTAGTTATAAATAAGTTTTATAAAATGTAATTAATTTGATATTCATGCTTTAAAATAATAAAAAAACTTTAAATATCATTATATGGTCTATTTCTTTTCTTCAATAATGACACCGATATATATATATATATATATATATATATATTCATTGCGTAAAAACAAGTTGTGCAACACATGTGTATGATATTTGTAGACAATTAAAGCACATAGTAATCTGCCTTTGTCACTACTGACGTTATCACGGATGGCGATTCATTTCAGACTCCATGGAGTTTATGTGAAAGGTAAAATATATCAATTTAGTTGAAGTCAGTTATCATATTTCATACATACAATTTAGGCTATGTTTGGATTGAGGTAGGTAAAATTTTATTAGGTAGGTAATTGAAGGTAGGTGAAGTAAGGTAATGAGTTAAAAATTTGTGTGGATATTTATTAGGTAATGTAAGGTAAGGTAAACAATGAAATTACTTAAATATCATTGTACTTGTTTTTCTTTATTTGTTTAATATGTTGACAATTATTTATAAGGTAAATGCAATAAATTATTTTTGCATCAATTTCAAACATTTTTTTATTAATTTATTAGAAAAGTTTTTAAGTTTTAAATGTAAAATTTTGAAATTAAATGAATACTTTAAGACAGAAGTAGTAACATGTCATTTTTATAAATAAAATTAATCAAAATTTAGAAGTCATATATTCCATAGCCAAAAAAAACATACAAAAAAATATTTATATAATTAGCCAAAAAACAGCAATACACCAAAATTTAAAAAAACCACTACAACAAACATGAAAAAAAGAAGAAAAAAAACCACCATAAAGAACACGAAAAAACACACAAAAAAATAGAAAGAAAAAGGAAAAAAGCAGAAGCATAAGCAAAAACAAATAAACGAAAAAATGGAATAAAAACAGCAAAGAGTCAAGGGCACAAAGAAAGCTGAAAAAAGAGAAAAAATTAAATAAATTAGAAAAAAACTTAGCGTCAGATCTGGGGAAATTGCACAGGGGAGCGCTATGTTTCGTCCGCGGCTGGAGGCGAAGTAGAGGAGGGCAGACACCGAAAAAATTGGATTGCGAAGCGATGACCTTGGTTTATCGCCTAAAACGCGGTAGCCAAATTTACACTGTTAAGAGGTAAGGTTACCTCCATTCACCTCCTCTTATCTAATTCATTTTTTTCTCCCAAACAAGGTAGGGTGTATTCTCATTGTGTTCTTTGAAAATACAATTTGGTGCACCAGTTGTGACCTTAAATCTTTAACACTTATCTCTGTGTGCATATCCTCTTAAAAGTTTAGCCCAGTATTGCTTTTTCTTTAAAGCTTTTCCAAATAACTGATGCTCATTTTATAACCTCTACTGTCTTTTGTAAAAATCAAATAGGATATTTAGAAGTTAAGATGCACTTCACCTTAAACATCTATTTATCAAATCACCCCAGTTCCCATGACATTACTAAACAATGACATGGGATGACCTGGGGCCATACGATGTTGCGTTCTTAAAATTGACGCTTCATACTCCTTCTAAGCCCCTCGGTATACCACTCACCTCGCCCCGCTTCAAACCCATCGCCCTCACCCTCTTCAATTGCATCTCCCAAGTTTAGTTGACTTTGGAGTCAAAAATTTTGACTCCAAAGTCAATAAAATTTGAGAGATGCAATTGAAGTGGGTGGGGCGGTGGGTTCGGGCAGGGTGAGGGTATTTATCGTGGGGAGGGGGGGGGGTTAGGAGGGATAGGAACTATCAATTTTACGAACGGAACATCGTACGACCTCCGGGTCATCACAGAACCGCCCCTTATCAAATATATGCCCGAAGCATCTCTTTCCATCTTAAGTATGGTATTTGTCAATATTTTTCATCGGTCATGAGTCTGTATGATATGATAAACCTTCTTCACCATTGCATTTATAGTCGTGAATTCAGGATTTTCATAAAAATCTTAACTACAATTACAAATTTCATTGCCGATCTATAATAGATCGTGCTGAGTTGTCAATGGCAAAGATGTGCTAAAATGAGGGTAATTAGATCTATTGATTTGTATATTACCAATAGTTTACCATTTTTTAAAATACTTGCAATGTTTATATGTAGTCATTTTAATCGAAATGGGTTTATATGTTGTGGTAAGAACATCAGTAAGAGTATAAATTTAACGTACAAGTTTCCTCTATCTTCCATTGTATCAATATTTTTTGCTAAGGTAATAACTTCGAAATATGTAAATTCGTACTATCCCATAATTGATTTTTTGTACAAATAGTCATAATCTAAATTTTGGATAAAAGTTCTTCCCGTGCATAATCTAGTATGCCCTAAAAGAAGGGGGGGAAGCCTTTCAATCATCACCATTTAAACATAGAAGAAGTGCAATGAAGACACAAACAGTAGGACTCTGGATAATGAAAAGTCTTGAGAAATTAGCCCTTAATTACAAAGAATAGAAACATGTATAAAAGAAGGAACATAAACAGAAGAGCAAAAGTCTATGGTGTCAGGTGAAAGGTAAAGTGGTACAATGAATCAGTAAATCGGAAATGCAAAAGATCGGAAAACCTAATTGCATCAGAGAAGCCCAAAGAGCACGAAAATCCCAAGGAAAATGAGCCAAATAATGTGTACCAGCAAAAGGGCCTGACCCGAGATTGGACCCGATCCGCCATTCCCCACGTCGCAAAACCCTAGCCTCGCCACCTCCACGCCATTGCAATGTGCATCTGCACAACCGCACCAATACGTCACGCCATTGACGCCGCAAACCGGGTCGGGTCGGAAACAGTTGATTGGACAGGAATCCCCAGAATCTTGAATGGGGCAGATGGCATCGTTGTCCCGATCATCGGACGGCAAGAGGATTAGGTTGTCGCTGGACTCTCCAAGGACGGCCGTTGGCGAACAGAGAATGACGATGAAAAGGGAGAAGGCGATGAGGAAATAAGGAGGGTTTGATAACGAAATCATTGCGGATCTCGGCGAGCTTAAGGAAGAGCTCGCCCGCAGGTATCTATCCCAAAAATTATTGCGCGGATTAACCCAGCAAAAATTGCGAACAAATCCAGGGACTGACTATACAGGATGGAAGAACTTTGGGGAAGAAAAGTACGGAGTAGTTGGCTATTCCTTGCTTTGAGGCTTTCTTGTCTTCAAGATAAAACATCATTTTCTTTCATCGGTAAAGAGTCCACTATTCTTTCTTTATTTTTAGGGTTTCTTAGGAGTCTTACTAGGGGTGGACACGATACGGTTCCGGTACCGCCACCCCTTGGTACCGATACTGGTACCGGACCGGCCGGTACCGGTTCCGGTATCGGTTCCGGTACCGACGGTACCGGACCGGCCAGTTTTGGCCACCCCTAATTTTTTTTTTTTTTGCTTTTTTATTAAATTTTTAAAGTGTAAAAATTGTAAATGTGCAATTGTTAAAGGAAAGGATGAAATAAAAAAATCTAAAAATGAAATTGATAAAGGAAAGAATGAAATAAAAAAATAAAAATAAAAAAAATTTAATAACGGTACTGGAACCGGAACCGCCGGTGGCGGCACCGAAAAATGGGTACCGGAACCGGTACCGGAGTGGGCGGTACCGGTACCGGTTCCCAGAACCGGTGGAACGTCCCGGCCAGCGATGACGGTGGCGGGTACCGGCGGTACCGTTGCCCGTCACGGTACCGTACCGGTACCGTGTCCACCCCTAGTCTTACATATACATATCAATTCTTAGGGTTGTAAAAAAATATTCATTGGATCGGATGTGTCATTACCAAATTCAGATTCGTATTCGTTCATTTTTATCTGATATCGAATTCAGATATGGATCGTGACGGATACTAAAAATCAAAACTGTATCCGCATTCGTCGAATATCAGTTGGATATCGGATATATCGATATCCATTTCCAATTTCTTAAGTTAAATTGAAAAATAATTTAATTTCCAATTAAAATAAAGTCAAAATATTATTTATCAATTTTAGTTTGTTATGTAGTAATTTTTTCTTATTTTTTATAATTTCTAATATTCTACGATAACTCCATATGGTAAAAAAAATATACATATTACACATATACACATATTTTTATGTGTCTACACATATATTTTACACATGAAAATGTTGTATACTTTAAGATGTCAATAGAAAAATAAAATATAATAATAAAAAATTAGGAAAAATTATATATAACAGATCGTATGTACGGATAAACAGTTACTTAACGGATGTCTATGCGGAGCGGATTATAAACGGATCAGATGTATGATTACCAAATCTGTATTCGTTTACCAATCGGATATGCTTAATCGGATACGGATAATAACCGCTTTTAACGAATGCAGATATTTTCCGTATAAACGGATACAGATGCGGACGATAATCAAATTTTCGGTTATCCATTTACAGCCCTATCAATTCTCTATGTGAAATACTGACAATTGATATTTGTGTGTGTCTTTGAAAAGACTAGGATACATCTAGTGTACACCAGATCGGATATCTCTGGTGTTTTTTCTTCTTTTTTTTGGTCCATGCATTCTATGGTTTGCAAATTACTATGTCCTCCATAGGTTCATTTCTTTTTATAGATCATCACACACAAAATTATTTTATGTAATGGTTCTTGTAAAAATACGAAGATCTTACTCTATTTAACACTGGTCCAACCCTTCAGATCATCATTAACACCGAACCGCCGGGAACTGAATAAAACCGAAAAAACCTATCCGATTACCAACCTTTTTTGTGTGAAAGTTTTCAAAACTTTCGATACATGAGTTCAAACCCATGATGTCATTGACCTTACACTACCTTATTATCCGTTGTGTTATAATGCCTGTTGTATCATTTTGAACATTTGGTTTAATTGTATCAAATATTCTATAAGTATAAAATTATATTTCAAATAACTTTGAAAAATATGATGTATTATATTTGGTTTTGAGCTAAGATTCAAAATCCAAACCATTGATATAATTGATATTAATATGAAGTGCATATCACACAAATATTTTATTTATATACACCCTCCGTCCCTAAAAACCTTTCTTCTTTCTTTTTTCATCCGTCCCAAAAAACATTTCTCATTTCTATTAAAAAGTCACTTTTACCCTTATTTTTTCATACCTTACCTATCACATCATACCCTTTTACTAATAATCTATCAATCAAGTCATACTTTTACCCATCACATCAAAGGACATTTTTGAAAATTCAATACCAAAATACACTCTTTAAATCCCTCTTCAAAATCAAAACTCTCATGTTTTCCGGGACGGAGGGAGTATATTTTAAATATTGGATAAATTACTTGAAGAAATCATATCAACAATTATTTTAAAAAGCTTTAAAACACATAAATTTTATTTCTAAATTTAATCCCACAACTGAATTAAATTAAATTGATTATAACTTTAGTCAAATATCATAATTGTTTATTTAAAAATCATCCTAAATATGACAAAAGCATAGATAAAAGTACCAAAATAGGACTTTCATGTTTTTTTCCCGAAATAGGATTTTCACTGTGGTAATATGACTTTGCCCTGTGGTAATGTGACAGTGTACATGTGTAAATTACTATACATTTTTGGTAATGTATATGATCATGTATGGTAATGTAAGTCCTATCTCGGGAATAAAAACATGGAAGTTCTATTTTGGTATATTTTCAATGTTTTAGTTCTACTTTGGTCTTTCTCCCTTGTTTATTTCTAAAAAGAGTAAATATTGTTTTGTTCACACACACACATATCAAACAACTACCTTCACTTCGAGGCTGACTCTCTCTCTCTCTTTCCAGGTGTATGTGCAAATCTTGCATTCTTACTAGGAAACTGTTCTTTAGAATGCTTCTTGATTAATGATTCATCCCAGTGTGATTGTTTTCAGATACGGCTTTATTGGATTAAACTATAAAAAAGAGTTTCCCAAGACTCACTCCATCTTCATCATCACCTTCACTAAGAGGGCAATCCCTTGAAGGCGATGCTGACCCTGAAGACAATGCTGTTATAGTTGGTGCCTATTTTAGCACTATCATGATCAATTAACAACATACTTTACGAAATCAAACATAGCATATAATATGCTCGATTTACAGAATCTATAATCCTGAATCAAACTAATCTCATTGCACTAGCAAACCTACCCCATGAATCAATGATTTTTTTAATTTAAAAAAAACAAATCAACTCTTTCTGCTATATAAGTTGACAAATAAAAATAAAGCACGCTTTCCCGTGAGTAAAATGATATGCAATCCTCTCTACATTCTACACCAATTACATAAAATATAACAGCTGTGAAATACATGATATATTACAATGACATTATTAACTCTATAAAAGTAACCTCAGCTCTAGCAGAAAAGAACTCAATTCTATAGAAAAACAGGAGAATCGTTTGCTTTACCTGAAAAATTTGAAGCCAATCCGGAGATTCTTCTATGGATTTAGTCATTTTCAGCTGCCTTCAATTCATAAATAAAAATAATTAAAGTAAGTTCAGTTCTCAAAACAAGCGAGTTCGTTCATGCATATTTGAGATGAAATAGAAATGGGAAATGCAATATACATCCGGTAATTTCTCTCTCTAAACATGTGGCAGCTTACTTCTACTGAAGTTGATTTAGCCCTTTCGCATGGGGATTTTCAATACTAGCGGTTAAGACGAGCAAGTGGGTGACGGACAACAGTAGTCAGACTTCGGGTGGTGGGTGGCTGGTTCCTGATTTGTAGTGATAATGGACAGCATGTCGGAACCCAAACTTTCTTGATTTGGTATAGACCTTATTAATGCAATCTAGTGCGAAGTAGCTATATGCATTTTATGCCCCAAAAAGTATGTCCAAATACATTTTAGATATAAAAAAAGACCACTATGGAAACAACATGTATGAAATTACCTTAATGCATGACACTGGGAACATCGGGAAAAAAACAACTGCACATTGGTAGCTGCTGTTGGAGCTGCCATCACTACTAAAGAGAAGCAGTGATCGCCATGCACACTGCCATGCTTCCATAAAGATTTCTTTTCAAATTGATGTGCCCTTTTGAGAAGCTCATTTTCTTTCTGCAACTTTAAGACAATTCCATAGCTCAAGGTATATAAACTACCTAATTCCTAGAAATTTTTGAAAAGGATACTGTACTGGTCGCCCTTTATAGAAGAAAACTCCGAATGTGAAAAGGCATACACATAATTATGATTAGACCCAACTGCGACCAGGTAACTTCCGAATACCCCTCACACACATTTTATCTCGCAAATACGAAACATCTAACCACCTATTTATCCTTCGTATCTCTGGACTATTTTCGTGTATCAAAGGTCGTAACTCTCCGAGTTAAAGTTTTTCGTACACACGATAGAGGAGTGGATTAAGTTATAGTGTTACAGCGACTGTTCGGGGTTCTTCACGTGGGGTACGTGGTCGTATCCGGAGTTACCCGAAACGAGATTCATTGTTTAATATGCGTCGAAACTCGAAAGGCCATCGTCCAAGAAGGTCAACAATGCATGCATAGTGGTCAGGTGAAGGAACTAGAGCGTAGTCATTTATCATGGAATTAACGAATCGAGACCCCTCTTCAACGAGCCCCCCACGACTACATGCTGTCAAAATCACAGTGAAGGCTACACCATCAGGCACTAACCCTTCACTTAGCATTCTATCAAACAGCCTAACAGCTTCCTCACTACGCCCATGAACCGAAAGTGCTTGCATCAATGAACAATACAGAATTACATCACGCTTAGGTATCTCCTCAAACAAAGCCATTGCTCTGTCCATGTTTCCACATTTTGCATTCATATCTACAAGAGCAGCTGCTACATGGGGTTGGTGAAGATTAAATGAGCTTTGCATCACATAACAATCTACCCGTCTGGCCAGGTCTAAACATCCTATTTGAGAGCAGGCAGACATCAAACTGACCATAACAAACTCATCTGGCCTAAGATTAATAGACATCATTTCAAAGAACAACTTCACAGCTTCAACAGGCTGTCCATTCTGTGCATACCCTGATATCATAGCTGACCAGGCAATTATATCTTTTTCATTAGACTGATCAAACAAAAACCTAGCAGACACCATGTCTCCGGCCTTTGCGCACCCATCAATCATAATCGTAAAAGAAATCACATTCCTTTCAGGCATTTCATCAAAAAGTTTCTTGGCAGTGGTCAGCTTCCCAAACTTTACAAATGCACTAATCATCACATTCCATGTGACAAGATTTTTCTGGGGCATTTTGTTAAACAGTTTCTGGGCTTCAGAAAAGTCACCAAGATTAACATACCCAACAATCAAAGTAGTCCAGGATACTTCATTTTTGAAAGACATTTCATCAAACAGCCTACGGGCACACTCAATTTCTTTACATTTCCCGTATAAATTAACCAAAGCTGAACCCACAAAAACATTACTATCAGCACCATACCTGACTACCAAAGCATGCACGGCCATCCCCTCTCTCAACGCCAGGACTGTGGAGCAAGCTCTGAGCAGCGAAGTTAATGTGTATCCATCGGGAACAACATCTGAAATTTGTTTCATTTGATTCAAAAGTGACAGTGACTGTGCAAGAGACGAATGTTCACAATACACTTTGATAAGCGTGTTCCAGATATATATGTTAGGATGAAGAATGCGCTCAAAGACTCTGGTGGCATATGCAACGTTCCTCCTCTTGTTCAACGACTAACTTTACTTGACTGAATACTCCTGGACCAGAACGAGCTTGGGAAACGTCTACTACACTCACACCTGAACAAAATCCAAGGCCTACGAATACGTCCGGGAATCGTCTAAGTCTTCGGCACTTCCACGTCACGTCTGCCGGCCGCATCTGTAGGTCTTCTTCATTACCCTACTTTAGATACTAGTCTAGAAGGAAGAAAATTACGTCCAATCCAAATTACAGGCGGGGAAGCTTAGGTCAGTGGTTCCATAGGTAATGTTAAAGCAGGGAGGTGGTTCCCAAGGAAAAAAAGAATTGAATTGGAATTGAAATTTCATGTGATTCAATTCCATAGAATTGAATTCGGTCAATTCCAATTCATTTTTTGCACTATCAATTCCAAATTTACATAATTTTTTTTCTAGCAAACACTAGAATTGAAATTGAAATCCTCAATTCCAATTCCACAGTTTAAATTCCGTGTACCAAACGGGGCCTAAATGTAAAGTCTAGCAAATTAATGTAGGTAAACTAATTATATATAAATGATAATTAAAGTAATATTATTAGAAGAAAATAAATAAATGACCGAAGTGTTTCTTATCAGGCTTGATAATTTCTCAATCCTCATCTCGTTTTATGGATGAGTTTTGTCGGTTAGTCTCAAGAAATTGGAAAGAAAATAAACATTAAAACTCATATATGCATGTTACTAGTTTCGAATTTGGGTTCCACTGGTTAGACAAACAATTGAGAGAAGAGTGATGATTTCGGTTTTGGGTTCAAATCTTCAAACTCAGCGACAGGTTTGGGAAAGGAGTGCGAGTGAAGAGAAGAAGCTTAATTGAGGAGAGAAAGGAGTGTGAATTTACAATTTTATCCACGTTCTTAACGGAAATATTAACAAAGAATGTGATTTTTCGCTGGCTAGGTCTTGGCCGAGTGATAATCGATTATCACCTCTGATAATCGATTATTTTCCCTAGCAGATTTGAACTCAAAGTTCAAAACGCTAGATAGTCGATTATCACCTTATAGACAATCGATTATCATGTTTTTGCTACCAAATCCAGAATTTTCAGAGAGGTCTGATAGTCGATTATCAGAACTTGATAATCGATTATCAAGTGTTACCGTTGCCCTCTAACGAATGGAATTTTAAATTTTTGGACAAAGAATCCTTTGATAATCAATTACCATGTTAGGATAATTGACTATCACACTGTGTTTTCAAAACATTTGTCCTGGTCTTGTTGGGAGTTCATGCAATGGTTACACCTCCTTTTAGACTATAAAATGGCACCAAATCTCTTATTTCACACACAATTCTTCAACTATCAATACTCCTTCATTTCATTCTCATCTTTCATATTTCATTGATCTTTGAGAGCCAATTCTTGAAGAAATTGTCGTTTTTTTAAGCGTTCATTTGTTTACTCATATCTATTCTATAAGAGAATGTTGTTCTTGAGTGCTTAAGTATTTTTATACACTTGAAGGGAGGTTTTTTTCCCTTGTTGTAGTTCGAAGGAAGTTTTTGTTCCTTTGTGTGAAGTCTTGGAGTGCGGTATCTCCGAGCAAGTGGCATTGAGGCTCGTGTGAGATTGGATTTGATGGTGTAAATTACCACGCAAATACTAAGTATAAGTAGTCGGAAGGGCTGTAGGTGGAAACACCTGTAACCCGGTTTGTTATTGATAATAACAGGTCTATTACAAAGTACAAGCCGTGCAGGTTAATTAAAGCATACCTCACAAATGAGGGTTTTAGGGGTATTTATAACAAAATTAAGCACGTCAAGCACATCTCCGGTTATCCAACCGGTCAGGCGGCTGACCGGTCAACCAGGCGTACTTCGAAAATAGATCTTCGTTTATTGGCGTTCGATCTTCCCATCCAACCGGTGCCAAAGCCCGGGCTGAGAAGGGTGCAGGCTGTCACTTCCATCACCACCCAGTTGGGCGAACCAACCGGGTGGTATCCATGGGTTATTACCCATCAAGGAGTCCTCCGATTCCCGGTCCTGTGGGGACCATCAGGGGCGGGAAGCACATGCGATTATCTCTTGAAATTTGAATTGCCCAGTCGCTTTTTGGCGGGAAAGTCATCTCGGAAAACCAGCGCCAACCCAAAATTTTTGAAATTTGAATTTTGAATTTTGAATTTCGAAAACCGGGTGTCCAAAGCGGGAGAATCTTCTCGAAGTCGGGTACGGAGCCGCCGATTTATTGTGCCGTTTCGTCTCCCTGAGAGGTTATGATGGCAAATCGTTTCACCTGCCACGTGTCATTCTTTCGTTCGTCCGTCTGGGCGGCATATTTCCTATATAAAGCGAGGTTCTCCCTAGAATTTCCTCACTTACAAATCTTCAATTCAAAAACTGCCCGGCTGCTTCTACCATTTCCGAGTCCTCCGAGTCTTCTAATCGTCTCCAAGTAAGTTTCTTTCCTTCCTTTTCTGAGTCATATCAGACCGTGAGGATAGCCAGAACCCTTCCGTCCACTCTTACGGTTCTGGCGGCCGGTCTCCGACTTTTGGTTCCTCTTCTTCTTCATCCTCTGATTCTGAGCACCCGGCTACTTCTCCACAGAAGAAGCCGGTTGATGCTTCCACTTGCGCTCCTTCTTCTCCCGTGGCGCAAGTGGCCTCGGATGCCCAGCCCGGGGACGAGGGTTTCATTACGCTTGACGACCGGTTGATCCAAGAACAATCGTCGTACATGCAGAAGCCCCAAGTTCACGAGCTGCGTAATCTGATGCCTGATGGGTATCAATTGACCTACCGGGCAACGTGGAAGAGCATTATTCCTCTCCACGTTGGTACGTCGATTGGTATCCACTACCATTCTATCAAGGACTTGGGTGAATTCTCTATTCACCCATTCAAAGTCCTTTTCCTTCTGACATTCGACCATCATGGCCTCCATCTGGGCCCTCTCCTCATCCTTCGACTTCACTAGCCGGGCGAAGTACTCCTCCCCGATCCGGCCGACCTGCTTTAAAGACATGGAAAACTTTTCAGAAAAGTGTCAAAAACAATAAGAGGATGGTAAGAAGGGAGAAAAAGGCATTACCTCATTCAGATCGGATCGGAACGCTCGGAAGAGCTCCTTGGATGGGTAATAACCCATGGATACCACCCGGTTAGTTCGCCCAACTGGGTGGTGATGGAAGTGACAGCCTGCACCCTTCTCAGCCCGGGCTTTGGCACCGGTTGGATGGGAAGATCGGACGCCAATAAACGAAGATCTATTTTCGAAGTACGCCTGGTTGACCGGTCAGCCGCCTGACCGGTTGGATAACCGGAGACGTGCTTGACGTGCTTAATTTTGTTATAAATACCCCTAAAACCCTCATTTGTGAGGTATGCTTTAATTAACCTGCATGGCTTGTACTTTGTAATAGACCTATTATTATCAATAACAAACCGGGTTACAGGTATTTCCACCTACAACCCTTCCGACTACTTATACTTAGTATTTGCGTGGTAATTTACACCATCAAATTGGCGCCCACCGTGGGGCCTATTATAAAAGTCATGACAAGCAACCAGGAAACCGTTATCTCACAAATTTCTACTCCCGCTGAGAACGTCACTTCATTCCCGGGAGGAAGTAATCAACCAACAAGCCAGATTCCTACCCCCATTGTCACCGTTCCACCACCTATCCCATTCACTTCCCCCATGAACCCTGATCCTATTTTTCCTTCAAATTTCCCCGGGCCCATGGATCCGATGTATTCCCAGGCTCTTCAAAATTTTGGACAGTTCATGTCCATGTTCCAGCAGCCGGGGGGATTTTCGCCTTTCATTCCGGGTATGTATCCACAATCCTTGCCTCAAACTAGCATCATTCGCCCGGTCATCCCGACGAACCTAATCGGGGAAATGGATAAAGCTGGTCCATCTCGTTCTAGAAGAAGCCGGTCCCGTAGGTCGCAGACGAAAGTGACCTCAGACGGGGATGTGCGCTCGGTCCATAGCAAAGATGAGGACTGGGATGTTCCCCAAGCGCTCAAAAAGTTGAAGGGAAAAGCTGTTCAACAGGAAGGATCTAGGAGGCCAGCATTCCAGAGGCTGGGACATGATGGTCGAAATCAAAACCGGTCAGCAAAAGAACGGCTGGGGGTAGAAACAATCCCCGCTAGCGTCTTTAACCGTGTGGGGAAGGGGGCCGGACGACCTGGTCAGACCAGGCGAACGGAACCACCCCCACGCGACGAGCCCCAGCACAGCCGGGCGCCACGAGAGGAGGGAGCAGAAAGCCACCCCAGGCACACGACCCGTTCCCATGTGGAACAACCTCGGGATCGTGTGGGCCGGGTCGAGGCCCGTTTGGAGAAGCTACAACGCCGGGTGGACAGGGACGAAAAGAAGAAAATACTGCTGAACGAATCTCCGTTCACAGACCGGGTTCATGAGACCCCATTTCCGAAGAAGGCGAAACTTGAGGTCCCAAAGTTTACCGGGAAGGAGGACCCGGAAATACACGTCAAAACCCTCCATCAAAGCGGGCGGATGATGGGTCTTTCCGGGGACGAAAAATGCTTACTTTTCTTTCAGACACTCCGCGGCCGCGCTGCTGAGTGTTTCCATAACCGGCCGGTGAAATCGATTCTTTCGATGAGCTGGCCGAGGTGTTTCAAGAGAAGTTCAAGGAAAACTGTACCAAGAGGAAAAAATTCACCTACTTGAGCACGACTGGGCAGAGGGAGGCCGAGGATTTGACAAAATTCCTCACCCGGTGGAAGGATGAAGTTGATAAAGTGGAGGAGATGGACGACAAAACAGCCATGTCTCTCCTTGTGTCCGGGCTCGTACAAAGAATTCTGCAGGAGGCCTCCCCAATCCTACCAAGAGGCCTACAACACGGCATGGGATTATGCTGACGCTGAAGCACAGGTGTCATCCAAAAAAGAGGCCGAGCAGGGCCATTCCAAAGGAAAAATTTCCTTGAAAAAGGAAATTGCACTGCCCGGTAAGATAAAAGCATAAGTAATGGAGGTAAAGCCGGTCAAATCAGAAAAGAAACCGACCGGCGAAAAACAATGGATAGAGAAGTATTGCTCCTTTCACAAAACTGATTCCCATAACACTGCGGAGTGTAACAGCGTGAAGGGAGTGATCAAGCAGATGATCGAGGCCGGGGAGATTGATCTAGAGTATCTAGCTCAGGCCAAGCAAAAGAAAAACCAATGGATCAGACCTGAAGGACAGCCGGCCGAGCAAAATAAAAAGAAGAAAGCAGCCGGTAAGGAGCATCTGCAGGTCATTTATGGCGGACCAGAAGGGGGAGACTCTGCTTCCCAAAGGAAGAAATGGGGACGAGAGCTCTACGTCGGGACTGTGGCCCTAAATCCCCGGTCAAAACAGATAAGACGGGAGCCGATCACTTTTACTGACTGGGACCTCCCCGCCACCGGAGAAGATCACAATGATCCCCTGGTTATAACTATGGACATGGGTGGAGTCGATGTCTCCGGGGTACTCGTTGACACGGGCAGTAGTGTCAATGTGTTGTACTTGGATGCATTTGAGAAGCTCAAGTTGTGTCGAACACGGCTTGAGCCCTTAAAGACTCCCCTGTCTCGGTTTACCAGGGACTCTATCGAAGCTGAAGGGTCGATCCTTTTAACCTGTGAACTGGGCACATGCGAACAGGTCGTCCAAAAACAAATGAGGTTTGTGGTTGTGAATATCAAATGTGTTCACAATGCCATTTTGGGCCGGCCTGGGATAAACAAGGTCCGTGGGGTCATCTCCATGGCCCATCTCTGTATGAAGTTCTATACCCCGGGCGTTATAGGACAAGTTAGAGGAGATCAGAAGAAGGCCCGATCCTGCTATTTGGAAGCTGTAAAGAAAATGACGCAAGCTTTTGAGAGAGTCAATTTGGTCTCTCAAGAGGAAGACCGGTCAGAGATAGAGCCGGGTGATGAAACCGAGCAGATCGTTCTCCGGGAAGCCTTCCCAGAAAGGGTGGTACGGATTGGTAGAGATCTGCCCGGAGGACTTCGGGAATACGCAGATATTTTCGCTTGGAGTGTGGCGGACATGCCGGGCATAGACCGTTCTGTCATATGCCACCGTTTGGCTGTGATGGAAGGGAGCCGGCCTGTGAAGCAAAAGAAGAGGCACTTGGCGAACGTCCGGAGGGACTTTGTGAAGAAAGAAGTGAAGGATTTGTTGGCGGTCGGGCACATACAGGAAGTACAATACCCAGCCTGGTTAGCAAACGTCGTCCTGGCCCCAAAAGGCGACACTTGGCGCATGTGCGTGGACTACACGGACTTGAACAAAGCATGCCCCATGGATTCATACCCGTTGCCCAGTCTCGATCAGATGGTCGATGAGACGGCCGAGTGTGAATTGCTCAGCTTCATGGACTCCTTCAAAGGCTACCATCAAATTTTCATGGCTAAGGAGGACGAGGAGAAGACTTCCTTCTTGACTCCTGAGGGCACTTATTGCTACCGGGTGATGGCCTTTGGACTGAAAAACTCGGCCGCCACTTATCAGAGGATGGTAAACCGTCTTTTTAAGCCACTCCTCGGTAAGTCCATGGAAGCCTATGTAGACAATATGCTGATCAAAAGCCCGGGCGCCACAAACCACCCGGCTGATATGAGGCTTTGCTTCGAAATTATGGCCAAGTATAACTTGAGTCTCAACCCCAAGAAATGCGTCTTTGCTGTAAAGACCGATAAGTTTCTGGGGTTCATGGTGACCAAGCGTGGTATTGAGCCAAATCCTGAGAAGATTAAAGCCATAACGGAGATGAGATCACCCAGTTCGTTGAAGGACGTGCAACGACTGACCGGGCGGTTGGCAGCTTTGAGTCGTTTTCTCTCTCGGTCCGCTGAGAGGGCTCTGCCTTTCTTCAAGGTTCTGAAGAAGGCCAATACATTCGAATGGGACCGGGAGTGCGAGGAAGCTTTCCAACAGTTGAAGGAGTACTTAGTCTCTGATATTGTTTTGTCTAAACCCAAACAGAAAGCCGGTACACTGCCATTGAGAAAACAGCATACGCACTCTTCATAACGGCCAAAAAACTGACCGCGTACTTCCAAGCTCACACTGTGGAAGTACTAACCGATCAGCCAATTGGACCGGTCCTCCGAAATTCAACCTCCTCGGGACGATTGATCAAGTGGGCGATGATGCTCACTCAGTTCAAAATATAGTATAAACCGAGAACTGCAATCAAGGGTCAAGCTTTGGCAGACTTCCTCGTCGAACTGACCGGTCTAGAGCCCGAAGCCGGACCTTCCCATACGGTCGAACCGTGGTGGGATATGGCCGTTGATGGGGCCTCTGGACCGAAGGGATGCGGGACCGGCATAGTCTTCACTACCCCGGAAGGATTCAAGATCTACCATGCCCTAGTTTTTAACTTCAAACTCACCAACAATGAAGCGAAGTATGAAGCGCTGGCCGGTGGTCTCAGATTAGCCCGGGCGCTTGGAATAAAAAGGATGAAGATTCGTTCCGATTCAAGTCTGGTCGTTGGACAGGTCAATGGTGAGATGGAAGTTAAAGAAGATCGCCTGGCCCGGTATAGTGACCTGGTCCGAGCACTCCTAAGGGAGTTGGAAGAATTTCGTCTGACCAGAATACCCCGGTCAGAAAACACTAATGCTGATATACTTTCAAAATTGACACAAGCCTGCCCGGAGCATGTATCGAAGTTGGAAAATATTGAGATACTGGACGCACCGAGCGCTGACCGGTTTGAGGTCGAGGCTATCCAGTCCGGCCAGACTACAGCAACCGGGATAATTGGAGCAGATGATGGCTGGAGGTACGAACTCATGGAGTATCTGGAGACCGGTCAGAAACCAGATGATGAGGAACGGGCTAGGAAAGTGGTCATGCGGGCTCCTCGTTTTCAGGTAATCGATGGTCACCTATACAAACGTGCCATTGGTGGACCTCTCCCACGTTGCCTTACCAACCCGGAGGCTGAACTGGTAATAGCGGAGGTGCATGAGGGAGTTTGTGCAGCCCATCAAATGTCCCGCACTTTGGCTCAAAGGATAATATTGCTTGGCTACTACTGGCCGACCATTGTTGGAGATTGTTAGCGGTATGTCCAGAGATGTAGGACGTGCCAGGTTTTTTACAAACATCCCGGCAGACCGGCCACATATTACCAACCAACGTCTAATGTCATACCATTTGCCCGGTTTGGGATTGACATTATTGGAGCCTTCCCGGTCGCGCAAGGCAGAAAGAAGTTCGTGATGGTGGCTATTGATTACTTCACTAAATGGATTGAGGCTGAGGCGATGTCTACCATAACCGTGCGGCAGTGTGAGAAGTTTGTTTGGAAAAACATTATCACCCGGTTTGGTGCCCCAAAGATCATTGCCACCGACAACGGTTCGCAGTTTCGCAACCCCCGGTTCACTGCATACCTTGCTAGCTTCGGGATCAAGCATAGCAAGGCATCGGTAGCATATCCACAGGGAAATGGCCAAGTCGAAAACGCTAACCGGACAATTGTGGACGGTTTAAAAAAGAGACAGGGTGAGAAAGGACACAAGTGGTTGGAAGCCTTACCTCATACGGTCTGGGCGCATAGAGTGACTTCAAGGAGAGCAACTGGAGAGACTCCTTTCGTGCTCACCTACGGATGTGAAGCCCGGCTACCAGTAGAGGCAGAAATTCCAACATTTAGAGAAACCGTGTACCAGCCCGGTCAGAATGAGGTCAACCACCTAGTTGAATTGAACCTGGTGGAAGAACGAAGGACCATAGCAGTTGTCAGGATGGCCGGTTACCAGCAGTCAGTAAAGAGGTATCATGACAACCGGGTGGGCCCACAATACTTCCAAGTGCACGACGAAGTTTTGCGCAGGAGGGATGCTAGTAAGCCTAACGAGAGGGGCAAGGGCCCTACTGCGTAAAAGCAATCGTCAGACCGGGCACTTATCAACTGGAGAGTATGGAAGGTGGCCGGGTCAACCGACATTGGAACTCTCACCACTTGCGTAAATTTTTTAGATAAAGTGTAATGAGTTCCCGGTCATTAATAAAACTTCGTTCTTTTCAGAAAGATTGTTCTCATACATCAATCGGTAATTGGTCACATACCAATCTACCCGGTTAGATATCCAATCGAATTGGGATTACCAAAAAAAAGACCGGTCTGACCGATCCAACACCTCATCCGTACTGACACGGGAGTTAAACGTTTTGGCTTGATTAAAGGGAGAGCATCCCTGCCAGTTTAAGCCAGACGTTCTGAAAAAAAACTTAAGGTTTACCTTTCCACGAGGGCATTAAGCCATTGTGGAAACAGGTCGGCCTTACAAGCGCCCGGGCAAATGCTTAACCTTTCGAAAAGGACAAGTCAATACGCCATCAAGGGTTATACCAAACTGGGAGGAAATTTATAAAACTTAAAGCCTTCCCGGCCGACTATCCAGTATTTTGAAAAGACTTGGGTAAAATTGTATTTTAAGCCAGGTAAATACAGCCGGGCTGTTATTTACTAATCTAAACGGTTAAGAATCTTAAGTTGAAGAAGTTATAAATACAGGGAGTAAAGCACTCAGCACACAATATTGAAAACACTTTCATTAATATTCAGATGTCTTACAAAAAAGTGCCCGGAGGCAGATCATTACATCTAAAATTACATAAAAACAAAAATAGAAGAGAAGAAGGCCAAGGGGATCAGATTCCCGGGAATGGAGGGACCGGCTCCTCATCATGTAGCTCGGGCAGAGAGAGAACCTTGGGTTGAAAACCTTGGACCCTTTGCTCAAGGATGCCATAGAGGGTCCATCGCTTGGCGTACTGACCGCTCTCAAAGCCAAAGGTCCCGATCTCGTCGACGATCCCGGCCGAGACTTTGTGCTTGTATAGCCCTTGGAAGATGCGGATGGCTGTCTCCCGGTCAGGTAGCGCCTTAGCGGCGAACTCCTCAGGCGCTTGAGCAGCCCAGGCAGCAGCAACGGCGGCACGCTCTGATTGCTCTTTGGCCAGCTCGTCTCCCAGCCGAGCGATTTCCTCAACCGACCGGGCGTTCTCGGCCTCCAGCTGTTGGATCTTGGCCTGGGCTTGCTCATCGGCCTCTTTCGCAGCCTTCAGCAGTCCATCATATTTTGCATAGAGTTGGCGGTAGACCGCGCAGTGCTCTGTCCATTTTGCCTCTATTTTCTCTGCCTTGGCCCGGGCAGCCTGGGCTTCCTTCCGACTACTTATACTTAGTATTTGCGTGGTAATTTACACCATCAAATTTAGCCACAAGTTGTGGTGAACGAGTATAAAACATTTGACAGTTGTAGTTTTTCGGGTAGTAAACCTTCCCAGTAAAGGGTTAGTTTTCTCTCCGAGTGTCGTATCTCTCGAGGAGTGGACGAAGGGAATTAGTTTAATTACTCTAACTAGGCGAAGATTATGATTGGTTTATGAAAGTCTTCTCGGAACGAATAAAAAGGGAGCAGAGTAAAAATAATAAATTTGGTTTACATAGTATAAGTATAGATCTGGACCTAGGGTCTGGACATCATTTGGATCTATTTTATCATATTAAATTAACAATTGGAATAATAATATTTCTATTACTACTCATCCATTTCTAGATTTGTACTTAATCTGTTGTTCTTGAATATCGTAGCCTTTTGGCATACAGTATTTTCTCAATAAATAGCTAATTAAATCTTTCGACATTAATTAACTAAATAAGGCAAGAGCAATTGACTAACCATTCCAACATTAATTTAACATCAAAATAAAACAACCAAACTAGTCCGGACCCAGAGATCCGGACCCTAACTCATACTATACAAACATGAATTAAAACAGCATTTTATTAAATAAAGAAAACTTACAACCTCCGTAAANTAATAAATTTAGTTTACATAGTATAAGTATAGCTCTGGACCTAGGGTCTGGACATCATTTGGATCTATTTTATCATATTAAATTAACAATTGGAATAATAATATTTCTATTACTACTCATCCATTTCTAGATTTGTACTTAATCCGTTGTTCTTGAATATCGTAGCCTTTTGGCATACAGTATTTTCTCAATAAATAGCTAATTAAATCTTTCGACATTAATTAACTAAATAAGGCAAGAGCAATTGACTAACCATTCCAACATTAATTTAACATCAAAATAAAACAACCAAACTAGTCCGGACCCAGAGATCCGGACCCTAACTCATACTATACAAACATGAATTAAAACAGCATTTTATTAAATAAAGAAAACTTACAACCTCCGTAAAAGCGGAACAGAAAAGATCTGGAGTCAAAACCTCCGGAAAATACTTTAAAACTACTACTAAAACTAATATACAAAGTATTTTAAGCAATTGAGAGAGGGGAACCCGAAATTGGGTTGAGAATGGATGATAAAAATGAGAAGAATCGTGCTGTATTTATAGGAACGAAGCCAAGGCGTCCAAGTCAAAGCGTCCAAGTTCAAGCGTCCAGATCTGGACGCCTGAGCTGTCCAAGCCAACCAGATTTTGCCACGTGTCATTCTTGGGCTGCAATTAAGCCAAAGCGTCCAACTCCCAAGCGTCCAAGTTGGACGCCTTGAGGCCTTGGTCCGTTGGGCTTCGCGGCTGTTTCGTGATTTTGGCCAAATTTCGCTCCGTTTTGGTCCCGAACACTGTTTTTGACCTCCCGGAAGCTCGTTCAAGCCCGAATCTTGATCCCTTGATGATTTATTCCCTTTTCTCAAGTATTTGAACATAAAATGGATGGTTTATGATAATTTCATGTGGAATACCTTTTCATGACTCTTAGAACGAAAATGAGAGTTTTATTCATTGAAAACACATTTTATGAGATGATTAAATACTATTTACGTGCAATAACAATTAGAATATGATGTAAATGATAAGAACAAAATGGACTTATCAAATTCCTCACACTTAAACGTTGCTTGCCCTCAAGCAACAAATTGAATAAGTATAAGTATAAAGACGAATTAATAATTGCAGAGGGAAGGGTTAAGCTACATATTATGAAGGAAAGAAGGAATGAGATAGTCATCAACCTTTTTGTTAAGAATAAATGAACCTTTAGATTCTCACCCATATTGTTAGAAATGTAAAAGAATTTTGTCAAACCAATATTTTTACACCAACCTAAACAACCAAAATTTTCCAAACTTTCCTTGGGATAACTACATTTATAAGAGTACTTTAAAGATCAAATAGTTTTTTAATGGCTAAATTGGAAAACATGTTCTTGCAAAAGTATTTGTCAAAGTGTAAGGGTTTAATTTTCTTTGGCATAACTTTGTCATGTTGACACGAGAAAAATTTATAACCTCATCCCATGACATAGAACCACGAGCTTTTTGGATATTCACTCTGGAAAGTCTCATCACACGACATAGAACCGCATGCTTTTTGACTCTAACACTCAAAAGGCCTCATCACGCAATTTAGAATCACGTGCTTTTTGGCATACTCACCACACCTCATCAGTTGACCTAGATTCAACTGCTTTTTGGCTAAAACAAGAATCTCGGTCTCACCAAAGTATACTTTGAAACATCACCCCTTATACTTTGAAAATAACTCTTTTCAAGAAACAACAGATACTCCTAAAAGCACCAGCAAAAAGATTTTCAATAAAGCACTTAAAAATTGATTGATCTTAAAAACTCTTAGTTATTTGTGAATTTATCCCAAATCATTTTAGAAAACATCCTCAAAAGGTTAGAGTAAAAATAAAAGTTTGACAAAAATTTTAAAAATTTCCAATTTCCACGGGTGATAACTAAAGAGTAATTAATCAAACAAATAAAATTGAGGACTATTTTATAAAATCTTTTCCTACAAATATATAGACAAAACAATTCCTAAAAGGATCATTTCAACCACGAACTCTTACCTCCTCACACTTAAACGGAACCACGCCCTCGTGGTTAAAAGTGTTTCAGAATTAGAGTTACAGGTTGAAATGTCCACATGCAATTACTAAGTTATCTCAATACTTACAAGATTCAACGATGAAGATTGAAATAATAGATAACCATAACATGTAAATATGAAATAATGCATAAAATATTCTCAAAATGGTTTTCAGGGTCATGTTGTGAAACTCCAAAATAAAAATCATCAAGCATCCAAATCATGTTCAAAATAGTAGAGAAAAAGAGACTTTACTGATAAAGTCAATATTTTCTCAGTAGCCAACTTCAACCAGGACTGTTGGATCAAGAAGCCTCGAAGGTTGCAGAAACCTTGTATTTTCCCCAGGTGAGACCTCTTCTTCGCTCCACCTGTAAGGTATGCCCTACAATTCTCTCATCTGCAAAAGCAAAGACAACAAACAAAATAACTCTTGCTCCCAAAACTGGTGCGGGAAGCAAAACCTCAAAAACTAGCAAATAAAACTATTGAATTTATTTAATTATTTTAGTTATTTGAATGACGGGTTGCCTCCCGTTAATCGCTTCTTTAACGTCCGTAGCTTGACGCTCACCCACTTTTTCCGTGACTTTCCGATCCGAGAGTCATAAAGTTTGGCCCTTTTGACTCTCTTCTGATGCCACCTTGTTTGATTTATTGCTCGGTCAAGGTCCAGGATCCTTGACTCGTCCCTGCGGCTTGGCGGCAACAGGATAAAAGGAGGAGACTCTAGATAGGTGGGTGGTGGCGGAAGTCTCCTCAGTTGATCCACATCATTGGCCTTCATAGCGAGATTGATTTTTTTCTTATCTTCAACAGGCTGACCATCCATTTGTGGTTTGATGATTACGACCGTGCTTTCCCCCATGGATGAGTCTTCAGTGTCACTTACCAGAAGTTCATCCCAACTCTTTTGGCTCCAACTATCCTTCGGGCAGACAAAGTCACACCCGTCAAGTAGTCATGGAGTTCCTGGTACACCCGTCAACTATCCTTTGGGCAGACAAAGTCACACCCATCAGAATCTTGGCATGGAGAATATCCAAAGTTTTTAGACGGGGTATCATATGGTGGTTCCTCAGGGTAGGGATAGTAGTCAGACCCATTGTCGACTTGGTAGTCATCATCATATGGGTTCTGATGTGGGTGGTAAGGTGGATGGTACGGAGGGCGGTTGGGTGATTGGTAGTAAGAAGGCGGACCGTAATAACCACTAGAGTTATCCATAATAATTATTACGGGTGGTTGGTGAAAAAGAAGTGAGAAGATCGTTCTAACCAATCTTCACCCAAGCTAATTAGAAGAAATTAAACTAATGCCGTGCCACTCCCCGGCAACGGCGCCATTTGACAGTTGTAGTTTTTCGGGTAGTAAACCTTCCCAGTAAAGGGTTAGTTTTCTCTCCGGGTGTCGTATCTCTCGAGGAGTGGACGAAGGGAATTAGTTTAATTACTCTAACTAAGCGAAGATTAGGATTGGTTTATGAAAGTCTTCTCGGAACGAATAAAAAGGGAGCAGAGTAAAAATAATAAATTTAGTTTACATAGTATAAGTATAGCTCTGGACCTAGGGTCTGGACATCATTTGGATCTATTTTATCATATTAAATTAACAATTGGAATAATAATATTTCTATTACTACTCATCCATTTCTAGATTTGTACTTAATCCGTTGTTCTTGAATATCGTAGCCTTTTGGCATACAGTATTTTCTCAATAAATAGCTAATTAAATCTTTCGACATTAATTAACTAAATAAGGCAAGAGCAATTGACTAACCATTCCAACATTAATTTAACATCAAAAATAAACAACCAAACTAGTCCGGACCCAGAGATCCGGACCCTAACTCATACTATGCAAACAT